AAATAAGGTCTAAAATATATAATAGATATTATGAATTGGGAAGAAATTGTTTAAAAGGAAATAGGAACTAGGTTGGGAAAGGAAGAAAGGGAAAAGGGAAAAAAATGCAAGTTAGTTATACTATTAGTGTCTTAGTTCATAGAAAAAGAAGCTTTGTGCTAATATTGATTGGAAAAATTTTTATGCCCATGTCTTTTATCTTGAGTAGACACTCTAAATATAACAACATGCGATGTATTAACTATTGTCATTCTTCTATTATCTTGCTATAAATTTTCATTTTATCTTTTTTATATAAATTAAAAAAAGAAAAATATTAGTAAATATGAAATATCTTTTATTATTGTATGGATTTTCTTTTTTGTTATTGAATTTTTCACTTGCAAAATCTTATTTTTCTGAAAAAATAACTTAATTTTCTACTCTTGTGATTGTAATACAAGAATTTTCAGTGTTACTATTATTGAAAAAACATGGAAGAGCTAGTGGATTATTTGCATGTAATGTCAACTATGCAAAATTCTAGATGTGTTACATTTTTTTTTATTGTTTGCTTCTATTGTAGAAGAGGGTGAATCTTAGCATATCATTTCAGATAAACTGGTTTTTTAGTAAAGGCTTAAAATATGTCCTGGGAAACATCCTGGGGAAGCTGTAAAAACTAACTCTGTAGTCAACTTTGCTGAGGAATGTTTCCCCTAGATAACCATCTGTGACCCTGCCTGGGTTGTCTCATCCTTCCCTAGTGCTATTTAGATATTGTAATCATTAAGGAGTGTAAGGTTGCTAAAGGGGACCAAACAGAACATCATGGTTAGACTTGTGACCAGGACCTAATCTGGTCCCATGGAATAAGAGGAAAACCATATGGCCACCTGAGCCAGCGGATTGTAACCATGGAAACCAAAAGCATATTTAAGAGTTGGAACAAAGATTAGTGGGCACCGACATTTCCCGACTTGTTCATTGGGAGATGCACGGTGGCTGGCCTAAATTCAATAAACTCTGTTTGCCCTAAATAGAATTCTTCGGTCTTCTGTGGAATTCAGCCCATTTGCCACTACACCATGAGTAGTTTTCTCTGATGAATGCCATCAGTCCTTTTAAAAATCAGGTGGTTAGCCATTTCTCAAGCACAATATCTAATATAAAAATTATCTTCACTTAAGGAAAGTATGTTTGGAAGTTTTATATAAAATTACTATTTAAAGACATTTATATTACTGCATATTAAATTTTCTTTGTAACCTGGTAAAAAGAGTGTAATAAATTTTTTGTTTTCATTTTTTGTGTCTATCCCTATTGAAATACTTCCAAATCCCTCTAGTTTACCTTGTACCCTCTAATTGTGGCATTGAATTTTAGCACTTTCTACATGTGCATTATTTCAGGAAGAATGAAAGTACTGTACTGAGCTACTTCTTCCAGGAACATTCCTCACAGTTATGAATTATTAACCTTCAAATGTACATTAAGACTGGTACACACTGGGAATCAGACTCAGGGGCATCCTACTGCTGAGCTGCATCCTCAGGCATTTCTATTTTTAAATTTTGGGACAGGGTCTCTCCAAGTTCCTCAAGTTGGCCTTCAATTTGTTTTGCTCTAACTTGAGTCTTCCAAATAGCTGGGATTACAGAAGTAGTCCCTGTAACAGGCTGTATCTTGAAGATTGTACCCATGAAACGTTTCAATTCATTTATTTTTTTCCACTTCATTCCCCCATCCCAACCTGTATTGGATTGTGAATCTTATGAGCGTAGGGGCCTTGCCAAGTAATTTTCTAAATATTAGTAGTGTCTTACAACCCTGGGCTTCCAGACTCTGTGTCTGTGTGTTTGAAAATATCATCTGATCCCAAGTTCCCTGTAGCTAATCTCTCTAAGCAAAGCCAGACAACTTCATCCCTACTACACCAAGGTTGAAATCTCCCTCTGATGCTTTCATTCCTCACACCTATGATATCAATAAAAAAATTCAGCATGGATGATGATACACAAAAGTAATTGATTAACCAAACATAGAGCAGTTCACAGAGGTGTGGGGAGGGCTAGAGATCATGCCAGAGGCTGAGCTTCCAGGTGTAATTACCAAGAACAACCTGATCAGTTGAGGAAACCATTCTTGCTAGTTTTTGCCCCGATGCCATTTCTAGGCTGACAACTGTTGTGACAAAACTGAGTCCAGGAAAGGAACGACAAGCAAGGAAGCCAGGAGGCAGTGAACAGCTTTATTTTATACCACTGGCCCTGGCTAGAATAACTTCCAACAGAAGTCATGCAGTAAGTATCTGCGAGCCAGTATTTTTATAGGAGGCATAAACAGGGGTTACAAATGTGGGTCACAACAGCCTGGCTGTTCTGATTAGCTACCAGGGTGAGATAATCTGTTACAGGGATAGATTAATGACCATCAGCTACAAGACTCAATGAATGACCACAAAGCTTGGTACAATCAAGTATCTTGTATGTTTGATTACACTCTTGTGGTTACAGGTGTCAAGAAAGCACTTACAGAGCCATGAAACAGTTATAGAGCTAGGCAGCTTCAGAAAGAACAGTTGTAAAAAGAACAATTTTTCCTACTACAGTTTTCCCTTCCCCAACTACCCTTACAACCATCTTTGCTGCTGCCTGAGAGGGTCTGCCTGCAGCTTCTTGGCTCTTGTGGATACCAGCTACTCAGTCCTAGTTAGGCATGGGAGCATCTGATTGCTGGATGGAGATCCCATGCCTGGGAGACTGGAAAGCATTCTTAGGACTAAAGGGAAGCCAGTCTTTGGCTTCTTGTTTCTTCTCAGGTAGGAGAATTTAGCAAACACTGAAAGAGGATCAAATTCTCAGTGGCCATGATGAATATTCAGTGTCTGCTCTCCAGGTCTTAGGTAGCATGGCCTCAGGGACTCCCCTAACCTGGGTGCTGGTGAAGGTCCAGGGGATCCGGCTGGTGGCCCAGTGAGGCCAAGGGCATGCTGTTGGTAAGCCAGACAGGTCGTCACCTCTTATGGCTGGTGTCAGAAACCAAGGGTTGGGGAAGCAAGGAAGAAGGTTAATGCAGAATATTTCAAGGGGAGCAGACTTAATGATTTTGGAGGCTTTAGTGTGAACTGCAATTTTTGAACATCTCTGGGAGTCAGTTAGAACATGAAATTTAAATAGTTTAATAGGCAGAATTTTATATAACTCTTTAGAATTTATCAAATGACTACATGAGTATTGTAATTTCTGAGTGATTCATTCAATTACATTCATCAGCTGGTTAGGGAGTGATAAGGAATGAGTCCTCTTTCTCCTGTACTCAGGTTACTAACAGCTTGGAAGTAGATGAAGAAATATTAAAAAATAGTTATAATTCATTGTAAAACGTTTATAATTATAGTAGCATACACAGGGGAGTAATGAAATTTATTTCAGATGCCGAATTTCACGGAAATCCTTGAGTTGAGTTTTGAAATATGCATAGCAGTTTGCCAGGTGGGCATATTGGGCAAATGCATGTGGTAAATTTCTGTTAGCACATCTTGTGAAAAGCTACAGAAGTCCGCCTGAAGGTGGAATATTCTGTGGGAGAGCAGCTGAGAAGTGAAACAAAGTGTGGCTACAGAGGAAAATACTAATTCCTGTGGTTGAACCAGTCTTTAGCAGAAGAGCCATGTCTGTGCAGGATAAAGACAACTTAAAGATCAGGAGGTGGTGGGAAGAAAGGTTGGGCTCTCATTCCTTCCTGAGTAGCTCATGTCATTGATGAAATACTGGCAGTTGTTATTCTTCCCTGAGAACCGCAACTATTGAAGGCTTATATGTGGAGGAGATGGAGGTGGTGAAGGTGTGTGAATGGTTAAGGGACCAGGGAAGCATTATGTGGAATAGTCTGTACTTTAATATCAGCCTTTTCTAGGTTTCTTGTTAAGAAGAACACCTAGGGGAATGGCACCAGGAACCTCCATTTGTGGCCTGCTGGGAGGCACCAAGAGAGTTGCATCAGTACCCTAATCTGTAGAGTGCTACATTGTCACATTCCTCACCTGTAGATCTTGGTTTTAGCTCTGTATCTTGCCTCTCAGGACAGTGGATATCTGCTTTTTGTCTTTATGAGACAGGGTCTCACTATGCCATTCAGGTTGGCCTTGAACTCACTTTGTAGTCCAGGTTGGCCTTGAGCTCACAGCAATTCTCCTGACTCAGCCTCTTGAATGCTGGGATAATAGGCATGCACCACCAGGCCCGGCCAAAAGGCAAGTAGATATCTAGAATCCTTCACCAGCTCCCTCATAGAAGGCACATGGTATATAGGATTCTAATGTGTTTCTTGGACATGTATCATAGGGTCTCCTGCTTCAAAGTTTTTCTTGATGTTTCACCCCTGTTTTTGATATAACCTAGCCATCTTTTGTTTTGTTCTGGTATCTTCCTTAGGAGCAAATCTTATATCTAGAACTCTTTGGCACTCCTCCTGAAGGCTAAAAGTAGGACAAATGTACCTCCAAGTAGACTAAGACACACTTGTGGAAGAAAAGGCAACCAAAGGGCCAAGTAAACTCCTCCATGGCCTCTGGGTGGCTATTTAGTTAGGTATTAAGTTCATAGACCTCTGGATACTGGAATCCAGAGAATTCTAGGGGATGCTAAATAGTGTTCTTCAAGGCAACAAAATCTTCTGTTCTACTTTATGCTAATAACCTGTGCTCTGACAGTGAGTGTGGACTGTGTAATAAGGGAAAAGATATAGATTGATCTTCCTCTCCTCTCCTCTCCTCTTCTCTTCTCTTCTCTTCTCTTCTCTTCTCTTCTCTTCTCTTCTCTTCTCTTCTCTTCTCTTCTCTTCTCTTCTCTTTCCCTCTGTCTCTGTCTCTCCCAGCAGCCTCTACCTGGAGGCATTTTTTATTTGCTTTATTGGTTTATTTGCTTTATTTGGTTTCTGCTAGGCTAGCATTAAAGTACAGAATCTGATGGCTGGGAGGAGGAGCAGTCAGTGAAAGAGTAGCCATCCCTTGAGTCCCTTCAGAGTGAAAGGACCTGTCTTTTCATCATGTGTTGCAGGGCTCCTGTCACCTCCTTGTTTCGAAGCGTGTAGATGATAGGGTTCAGCATGGGTGTGACGACTGTGTAGAAGAGACTGAGGATTCGATCTCTGATGACAGAATTACCTGCCTGGGGTTGGATGTAGGTGATAGTGGCTGTTCCAAAGAAAAGGGAGACCACAAGCAGGTGGGAGGAGCAGGTAGAGAAGACCTTTTGGCGGCTCTGGGTTGAAGCTATTTTCAGGATGGAACCCAGAATACAGGCATAGGAGGCAACAATTAGTGAAAAGGGGACCATTATAAAGACCACAGTGGCTGTCATCACGGAGATTTCACTCCTATGCTTTCGAGCATTTGCCAACCTCAGGACTGGCAGGATGTCACAGAGGAAGTGTGGAATGACTGGGTGGCTGGGGAAAGGCAGAGTAAAGATGAGGGATGAATGGGTGGTGGCTGTGATGATGCCCATAAGCCAGGAGGCAGCCACCATGGCCATGCAGGCTTGTTGACTCATGAGGTTGGAGTAATGCAGAGGCCGGCAGATGGCTGCATACCGGTCATAGGCCATGGCTGTGAGCAAACAGCACTCTGAGATGCCCAGAACAATGAAGACGTACATCTGGGCTACACAGCCCTGGAAGGAGATGGCCCTGGGGTATGGGAAGGTCAGATCTGCCAGGGTCCTGGGTGTGATGGTGGTGGTGTAGAGGATCTCCACCATGGAGAGGTGGCGCAGGAAGTAGTACATGGGAGAATGCAAGGTGGGACTGGTTTGTGTGAGGATGATGATCAAGGAGTTACCCAGCAAAGTGACCAGGTAGACCAGAAGCACCACCCAAAACAGGGGGCCCTGCAGCGCCCTGATGTCAGAGAATCCCAAAAGGAAGAATTCAGACAGCACAGTGTGATTTTCCTCAGCCATCTCTCCCAATCAGAAGCTATGGCACAGCCTAGAAAAAGAAGTTATTCAGTAACATCCAGCATTTCTGTAATTCTGTAAACATTTCCCATATAGTCCCTCTCAAAATCAAGTAAGAATTAGTATCTTCTCTTTATGGATGAGTCAGGGGTCTCAGAGAGGTTAAACAACTTGCCTGAGCTAATACCCAAAGAGTGACAGGACTGAACTTGAACCTAAATCTCTTAACTTCAAATCCTGTACATTTACCATGCTGTGGTCCTGTGTCTGAGGTCTCACTTCCACTGGGATAAAACAGAGCTCTATACTTTGGATTTTTCCCCTGAGTGAGAGATAGGAATAGCTGCTGTGGCCTTGGCCACTTTGTTTTGAGAAAGAACAGATTTTATTGGGAGTTTTTTTTTTTAATTTTAAAGAGAGTAGTAAATGAGAAACAAACGAATAGAATAGTAACAGCATACCAGTATCACAAACATAAACAAATCCCACATGCCGAAGACTAAAACTAGACCCATGTCTTTCACCATGCACTAAATTAAAGTCAAAATGGATCAAAGATCTAAGTATTAAAACAGAAACATTAAATTTATTGGAAGAGAAAGTAGGTAAAAATCTTGACGACATTGGGGCAGGCAGAGAGTTCATGAACAAAAACCAAGTTGCACAGGACATACTTCAAAGAATCAACAACTGGGACCTCCTCTTATTGAAAAGTTTTTGCCTTGGCCACTTTGTACTTTCCAAACCAAAAGTGGAGCCATAAACAAATCAAGGTATGTGAAGGATGGTCCTAGGCTGGTGTCTATGATCACAAGGGTAAGCTGAAAATTTAGAATGTCACAGAGTGACATGACTATTTGTGATAAGATGGCCCAGTTGCATCCTGCTTTGGGAGGACTGGGAGAGATTTGGGAGAGATTTGGGAGAGATTTGGGAGGATTTGCCCAATTCCTTTCTTTTCCTCTTACATGGGCCCTTGCAACTGACTGTACCAGCTGCACTGTCCCAGCACACCCTGCTGTCTTAGGCCTCCCTTGCATCTTGTCTACAGCACTTGCAAAGGATGCTGTGCAGTGTTTGAACAGCTGCAGTGGTGGAGGAACCCACCACCTACTGAAATAACGCCTTGCAGCTTTGGCTTTCTCTCCCTGTTGAAATGTCATTATGTTCATCTTGGCTAAATGTGTGTAATTCATAGAATTTCTAATGCCTCTTGCACCAGAATTCCCTTCAAATATTTGAAGAAGGTAGATTTATACATACCCCTGTGAGACATTGCTTGTGCTGCTGTCCCAGCCCTTCTCAGTATGTCTCCACCATAAGGTCATTCAGGGCAAGGTGGTGAGGTGGGAGTATTGTTGTATGTTTTGGCAACTGCTAATGTTTCTCAAATTCCTGGTCCTTGCCAGGCACTATGATAACGATTTAACACTCTTTAAATCATTGAATCTTCACAATGACTCTAGACGTAGAAATCATTAGCATCTCCATTTTACAGAGGATGAGATGGAAGCCCAGACAGTATAAGTAAATTTCTCCAAGTAAATGAGAGGTTGGTCTTCAATCCAGGTGTAATGAAGGAGCTTGTACACTTAACTATGAAGTCATCTAGTGTCTAAGAGGTAAGTTTAATTAACAGAAAAGCTAGCATGGTGTTAGGCCATGCTGAGTCCTCCCTAAATATTTACAGGGTGAATCAATTCGTAAATCCTAGTTATAATGACAAGGAAACTGATGAACAAAGATTAAATGATTTGTCTCAAGTCAGGCAACAATGTAGACAAAGGCAGAATGCTGGACCCTTTCAGAAGTCCTGGGTCCAAGGATTTGCTAAGCTTTTATTATTCACATTCACCCCACACTTGAGGTTGGTCTAGCTCTGTGTGTATTTAGGAAAAAGAGTCTCAAACTTTCTACCCATTTCTCATGGACCAAACTTTTATTGTAACTTCATTCTGTTTACTCACCATATTTTTGCCTAAAATCATTTACTGTAGTTTACATTTAGAGATTACTGTATGCTGGGAATTGTGCAGCATCTCAATTGACCTCTATCTTTGTAACAACATTAGTGATAATTATTGTTTTTGTCACTGCAGGAAAGGAACCAGAACTCTGAGAGTTTAATTTATTTGCAGAACATCAGGTAGTTAGCAAGTAGCAGAACCTGAGGTTTCAACCACCATACTTACTATATCTCCAGTGAAGCTAATAGCCTCACTCTATACTTTTGGGAGATGAACTAGTAAGTTTAGACAGGAATACCTGATCCATTGGTCAATAATCCTTCATATGCCCACATCACTTAGATAACAAGGAAAAGATCTGCTGTGTGCAAATTTTAAAGGTTTTTTTTTCAGTTGAAGAATACATAAGAAATATTTGGAATAAAGTCACTCATGGTTCTATCCCCTTAGTTAAATTGTTTTCTTTATTGTACTGCCTTCAAATCTTTTTCTACTGCAAATCCATTTTACACAATTGTAATAATAGCTTCTGTAGTATTTTGTCTTCTCCCTATTTTTTTGTAGTGTTTGCTGTAAATTTTTGCCATGAGACCACATAATATTCTGAATGATCTTTTTTAGAAACAAAGTTCTTGTAGCAATCCATTGGATGTCCCCATTAACATTTACCATGCCCTTCTCATACTATTGCGATTTAAGCTGTTTCATATTTTTGTATTGTAGATAAGTGATGCAAACAATATGCATGTCTTCATTTGCTTCTGTCAACGTATTTCTTTAATATCAATTCTAAGAGTGTGCTTATTGGCTAGGGGTAGGGACATTATGATAGGTCTTGCCATATTATGCATGTTTTTGGGTTCCTTTGATGGATGCCTGAGTGGCACCTCAGTCTTCCTTTCTTGAGTAAAGCCGGGTTTCTTCTGGATCTCACTGGGGGCTTTTCTGTATCACTGGCGCCTCTCCCTCCACACTGTGAGCCTCTCTTCACTCTGCATCCTCTGATTACATTTTAGCCCAAGATATCATCTGTGAATGTGGGGTGGCAAGCTCTTCTGTATCTTTTGCCCTTTCCTTCCTTGATCTCTGCTCCTCTCTTCTCTGTTTCCACTTTGACTCTGTTAATTTCCTTTTTCAACTTCTCTTATTCCCCAAATGTCCTAACATAATTAATAATTATAATCCTAAAATGTGCAAGCGATAGTGACAACAGTCAACTAATTATAATAACTATATTCATTTTTACTATGCACATAGAAATTTGCTTCATAAGAGAATAAATTGATAAAAATATAATTCTTAAAAAAACAGCTGAATGTGGAAATTCATTAATTTCCTTTTTCAAATTCTCTTTTTTGCCAAATGTCCTAACAGAGTGGAAAAATCCTCACAGAAACACTGACACTGCAGCCACTGTTATCCTTTTCAAAGCTTCCCACAGAGGCACAGAGAAGACTGAGAATAACTCCCTGCTGGGTCACAGGCGGGATGAGGTTATTTGCTGGTACTGGGAATTGAACCCAGGACCGTCACACTGACCTACGTTCACATCCCTTTACATTTCTTTTTTTCTTTTTTAATTTTGTGACAGGGTCTTGCTAAGTTTCTATGGGCTTGAACTTTCAGTCTTCCTGCCTCAGTCTTTTAGAGTGCTAGGATTAGACACCTGAAACCGCATTCAACTGTTTTTTCTAAAAATATTACATTTTTCTTAATTTATTCTAATATGAAGTCAATTCCTATGTGCAGAGTAAAATAAGTATATTTATGGCAATCAACTGACTATTGTCACTATTTCTTGCATGTTTTAGAATTATAATTATTAATGCACATTAATTGTACAAATGAATGGGCCTCACAATGATGTTGTGCTGCATGCTTATATCATGCTGTCCACTCTTCCTTCTGTCCTCTCTTTTCCTCCCCTACTACTCCTTCTTCAGTGGCCCCCTTCCCTTCTCTAATAGTCCCTCCTCTACTTTCACAATTTTATTTTTAATCACTGTGAAACATATAAAACGTCATTCTAATATGTACAGTTTAGTAGTGTTAACTACATTCAAGTTATTGTGCAACAGATCTCCAGAATGCTTTCAAGCAGCAAAACTAAAACTTGTAATGTACTCATTCAACAACTCTCCATTTATACTTCCCTGTGACTCTCATTAAGGCAGAAAAAACAATCCCTGTAACCTTCAATATGCCTTTGTGAGGCAGGCAGATGGATAAGTTGATCAGCTCATAAGTATGTGGATGAGGTGACACACAAACTGTGGTGAGTTGGCAGAGGTATGGCTGGGTGGGTGCATGACTAGTTGGTTGCCGAGGTGAGGACCTTAGAGGGTGAATGGAGTAGAAAGCAGCCCTGGAGGGGTAGGCTCGGCATCTTGGGTGCAAAGGAACTGGGATACTGCAGCCAAGTAGGGTCTGTGGGAAATGAAGTGAGGACACTCTTAGAGTCAGAAGGACTAGGAACATGGCTGCACTTCTCACCTTTGTTTTTCCCCCTAAAATATTAATAGGAGATGTGTACAGTGTGGGTGCTTGTGTGTGTATATGTGTGTGTATTGGGGCGGGTATAGGCTAGCAAGGAGAATGCATGCAGCTCTGTCTGGGGGTCTGAGATGGGGATTGTTAGTAGGTGCCCGAGAGGCACTGACTGTGAATAAGTATGGAGGCTATGGTGACCACTTGATTTTTTTTTTTAATTTTAAAGAATAAAAGAAGGATAACATAATAATAGGGGGGACTTAGCAAATTACAGACAAAATGGTAGGAAATTATCAATGGTTATCGTTTTACATATTATTATCTACAAAATAGTTTCTCAGGAAAACAAATAGACAAA